GAATGCTGATCACAGCGCAGTCAGGCTCAAGGAGGGGAGGGGGCATTTTGCACGTTCGTAACTTCCCGACGTCGTGTTCATTGTTACAAGAACTGACAGGTATACTTCACAAGAGTTTACAATAGTTTCTACAGATTCTAATTGGTAAATGGCCGGATTTCACAACTTTCTACTTGATGGCTCGAGACGACAGAAGGAAGAAGCGAAATCGTGAAATCTCCCCCCCCTTCCCCAAGCCAAACTGCGCCCTAAATCCGAATAAAAACTTTTATACTCTTTGACAGTCCCAACAGTCATGTTTTCAAATTATCTTTATTCACAATTTCCCTTTGAAGAGTTTTTTCTGTTTAAGATTCAATATCGACTTATGTTGCGGTTTACTAATACAAGGAGATCATATGGACAACAAAGCGCTTCATTTCAATCCTCGTTTCGACGCAGGCGGCGGTTGGTGAGTAATAAAGCTTTGTGGCTTGTAGCCGTCATTATATTCCGCTCTTAGAAAGAGTTCATACTTGGCGACTGGTCTCACGGATAGCGCGATTTGAATTACTGTGACTATAACGCCGCTACAGCAATTTACAAGATAAGCTGCGTGAATACTACGTGATAAAGGTTAACAGGTGTACAGGAAAATAAGCGAACTAGGGATGAGGTGTACCATAGGGTTAAGGGAAATTTTCGCGGAACACGATCCATCAATTTTCTGCGATACAATTCCCCACCTTTATTAGCCAGCAGACCGTCTTACCAAACTCTTCAAAAGTTCATTTTCGGGCAAGGAGAAGGGTTGACACCATCAGTCAACCATCAGAAATATTGGTTTTGTCGCGTCACGGACTAGGGGGGGGGGCATAGCCCACGTGGGAAGGAAAAAATAGGGAAGGCAATTTAAAAATTTAGAAAAAATAATCCACCTCCTCCCCGAGTTGATCAAACACTACTCTCATTGTGTTTTCACACGGATAGTCAGCCCTAGTGTGAAACAGGACACTTCCTGCCGCTCGGAGAAAAATACTGCAACTTCCTCTTTCGAGGATTTCCTCCAAGCTACCATCTTCCCAAATTTCTCCAACGTTTCCAACTATCTACTACTTTTTCGGGAGTTTTTCTTTCCAAAAATTCCCAGACTTCCCAACAAACCATCGAACGAGGTGGGCACACAAAACACTCCAGAAAATTACGGGAAAAGTGCACCAAAACATTCTTCCCGAAGGTAATAGAACCTCTGTCGGTGGTAACCGACGACGTGCTCGTGTCGAAGGGCAAAAGATAGGCGCTAAAGAAGTGAATGGGAACTGATTGTTTCGCGCGATGAGCGACCAGTCGCGAGGTGAGCGGTTCCTTACTGCCAAATTTTTTTGATGATATTTATGGGTTCACCTTCAGGTTTTCTGGTCCGCCAGACCGGCAACTGGTGGTTAACACATACATTAATAATCAGTGGGGTCCGGAAGAGCGATTCCCGAATCCTCTCGAGTTAGGAAAGCCATTCCAAATACGAATACTTGTACTCGAAAACTATTTCAAGGTAATTCTACTTCTATTTTTCGATTTGTTCATAATGGACTTCCAAGATCATTGAGGCTTAGTTTTTAGATCGCTGTCAATGGAAAACATATTTGTGATTTCCCTCATCGGGTACCTGTTACTGATGTGAAGACAATATTTATCGGTGGAAATGTTCGTGTGGACTTTATAGAATTCCAACCTCCGGTAAGTATTTTGGAGAGCAGTGGAAAGGGCATATCTCGGCGGTGTTGTTCAGCGTTACCCTGTGCTCTACCAGTCCTCTTATATTATCCTATCCAATCTTAAAAGTGGAACTAAATCTGCTTACTTCGTTCCTTTGTCATATGTTTCCCAGACCAACATGAAGGGGTTGCCTGTAGTACCAGAAAATATAAAATCTATTATCCTCTCCTTGAATTCCTTGCACCATCATATTCTTATTGCTGTAAACCGATCTAAGCGAGCCAAATATGACTCTTTCCTGAGCGACTCGATTACGGTAACTTGTCCACTATTCCGCGATTTTATTTCCCCACTAACACATTCGGTACTAATAATCTCGGCGGCATTTAAAGGACTCCAGGAAGATTGGAGTACCACAGTGGAGGATTTCTACCCAAGCCAATGCTGTGAAGGAGATCCGGGGTTGATGAATAATTTTTAAGTACGATATCTCTATTCTCACGTTAATCTCAGTTTCGCGCAAGCAGGGCACATTCTTGGTTGGGGATTTTGATCGAAAGGTACCCCCTCCCGACTATTTTCAGGGGATTGGTGCGACCCTCAATCCCTGATTCCCTCCTCATCGAGCTGTTGAGCGGGAGGGAGAATACATCCCGCTCTATACCATTCCTTTCTCAGATTTTCCCCCCACTTCAACTTCCTCGCTTTTTTCTGAATTCATCGATAATTTTCCTACTTTTATCCCAAAAATTTTGCTGCCGAGCGAGTTGTATGTGGTACACATGAAACAGGAAAAACCATGAAAAGTCAACAACCTCTCTCACAAGCCCATCAAAGCTCAGAAGGTAAATACGACCTCCTTCCTTCCAACAACGAGCAAATACGATCCCCCTTTTCAACGTCTCCGAACAAGAAAAAATCAACTATCAAGAAAAAAGGTTTTCCCAGCCCAAATACGACCCCCATTCCTGTTGGGGAATCCCCAACAACGAGTGCCCTGCTTATATAACCCTTCCCTCCAAGCAGGGAACAACAACCTGATATATGGAATGGCGGGGTGTTTGTACGAGTCGACCCTCCCCCGCCCCATTTCTAATCTCCTCAGACTGTACGACCTCCTTTCCCTATCCCGGAGAGGAGGCGAGAGGTCGTCACTGATCAACTACTCAGCTACTACCTTCAAACTACTACCGGAAATAGTAGTTGTACGGTAGATCTGCTGCGACAGAAACTAACGGGGATTACATGAAACGGGAAAAATCGCGTCAGCCATCAGAAAAAGTCTTCTACATAGCTCTAGTGTTTTACATGCGATTTTACAGCTCGGATTTTCAGAGCTACATCCGTTTCCATAGGTGTAGGTGAAAAGGCTTCATCGGTTGTTATTTTCAGCTTGCATAGAGTTCCGTTGTGAAGGCAATCATGAATCTTTAGGGCCACAATGGATAGTAATGGTGATTATCTGCTTCCTCTACACTATTTTACGAGTGCATTGATATTCTGAGTTTTAATCACTGAGAGTCGTCCGAAGCGCATCAGGGCGTGTACATAGCCAAAGACCAGAATTCAAATGATTTGACGCTACTGAGTCAGAGATTGTTGTCTGGTTTTTCGACATCCTGCCGGATTCTCGTCATGGATAGCCTTTGTAGCGTAGAGCTTCACTTTGTTGCGTTTCCGCTTGCAGCTAACACGCTTTATCCCCGCTGATGAATAACCCACGCACATTTATCTTGAAATATTGTGCCTGTGAAAGAATTCCTGGAATAAAAACATTTTCATGCGTTCACTTGTTTATTGCTTTCCACAAAGGCTAGGCACTGTTCAACTATGACAACTCCAAAATCTTTAAAAAAATTTGCTCGCTAAAGCTGTCAAAAGTTTTCAACTAACGAGCTATTCGTACTGAGGTTCAAGAGGGTTTGATGGATTATTCCTCCCGGTAGTATTGCTCTTCCCCTCTTATCAAGGAACTTTCCAGTGCTCCTGTGAAACTTCTATGGCAACCCCAAAAACTTAAAAAACTTTTCTCGGTAAAACTGTCAAAAGTTAGGGTCAAACATCACCCCGCGGAATGTCCTTTTCGACACGACCCCCTTCCATCCCTTCAGAACGAGTGCCCATACGAATCACACCCCTCCTAGCACCCCCTTACAAGGCTGTTGAGGCATCTGTCCTGCATCGGTGTCTCGACGTTC